CTGTGAACAATTTGTTAATTATAATCAACGAATGAAGGATTTTCTTTGATTAAGTGATTTCCATAGTTGATTGTGCCCAAAGCAAAGTAATTAAATCAAAAAATTCTCGTAATTAAAAGATGCAAACAGATAAATGAGAGAGAGAGAGAGAGAGAGATGAAGATGAAGAAAGAGAAAGAGAAAGAGAAAGAGAAAGGTAAGAGATTCGGATGATAAGTGTGAGCAAAGATTAGGGAGCAAGTTGGGAGATCGAGAAGTAAAAAGTTGGTGAGCAACTTGTTGATCATTTCCAAGTGAAACTCGTGTTCATGTTGGTTGAGATTGTGATTATTGTTGATGTTTCTTGATTGTTTCCTTAATTGTTGTTAATTTTGTTTCTTAACTTTTGATAAGAAAGAAAAAAAGAAAAGAAAAACCTTGTCTATTCAAGTTTGGAATATTTTTTTATTCTTTTTTTAAAAAATTTTCTCTTTCTCATGTTTTTCTAAATCTCTTCAATCACTCACCATTTTTTTTTCTTCTCAATTCGCATTCAATGTTTATATTCAATTTAGTTTCTAATTAATTTACTAATTGCTCTGTTGTGATATATTGGATCATCTTCCTGTTGCAAATCATCATCATCATCATCATCAACAACAACAACAACAATTATCACCATTTGATTTGTTTGGGTTAACCACCAGTTTAATTGGAAATTGAATTTTTATAAAACATAACCATCATCATCATCAACAACTTTAAATCACAATTTAGCCTAGATAATTGGAAAATGTTTCTACATTGTAATTACCAGTTTACCTTTAATAGTGAACAATTAACACAATTGTGAGGAGAAGAAAAAAATAATTCAAATTGTCAACAATTAATTTTATCTTAAGTGTCTTCCTTTTCCAACCTTCTCTATATTTCCTTGGGACATTAAGATGGTGTTTTCTTTCACAGTAACATTGAAACTCTAGTCAAACATTTCCATTCAATTACAGTTAATTAGTTAATTGTTGTATCATTCATTTGTTCTTGTTTTTATCTACATTTTAATTGTCTCTCAATATAACATGATGATCGTTAATTAACTCGTTCCAATTTCCCTTTTTTTTCCACAATAATTATGTTAACTTTACCATTTTCACCTGATCTTTTACCATCAGTTTCCATTGTTAACCCAACCCTTAAAATAGGAAAACCTAATTAATTGTTATTGTTACATTTTCCCTTTTGTTTTTATTTAAATTTTCAATATTCTTTTTTTTTCTCTCTTCTCTCTCATTGTAACTAATGTGTATTCCATGGCCTTTCCATGGTTCACATGGTTAACTTGGATTACAGTGATACTTCAACTAACTGTTAATACCTTTGTTGACTCTACATCAATTTCGTCAATTTTTTCCTCCTCTTCTACCATTTCCACTTCCTCTTCCTCATCTCTTCTAACTGGTGAATGTCTTTACCAGGAATGTGGTGTTAATCCATTGGCAGAATGTTACTTTTCATCGGATTATCTGATTGACTGTGAAACTCGTGAATCTTGTCAACGAATAATTGTTTACAAAGTGATACCTGAAAGTCCACTCAAGGAAAAATTGTCCCTCTCTATTCACAGTTATTCCTTACGTCCCAATACCTCAATTGATTTGACATTAGATGTCTCTTATTTGGTTGGATCTCATCTTAAAACTGTTGCCTTACAATCATTTAAATGTCAATATTTACACAACAATGGTACCGTTAGTGCCATCATGAGAGGCTTTAATGAGTCTCAAGTATCTGGTGAAGCTCATTACACCGGTGAATCGATCCATTGTCAATGGATAATCTCACCTGATGGACCTTTATGGCCTCGACAATTGTCAAATGGTCAACCTTTAAACCTTTATAATCATGTGTTTGCCTGTAACAGGTTATCAATTAATTCATCATTAGTCTATGTATTCACTCATTCACCTCCTCTTCATAGATTAAGGTATATAACTGAAACGTTATATCCAAATAATAGGTTACCTTTTAATCCGTGTGAACTAAGTCAATCTCCTGGAGATAACAAACAATTGAAGCAACAACAATTAAAACAACACCAGTGCTCTGGGCAAGCCATCATTGTCCCCAATCATCAAGATGAAACTTATCTGGATGTTTATTTAATTGTTTACGATCCAATTTCAAGCATCAATTTACAATTGAAACATTCATCGGGTGAACAAAAAATTGGTACACTTCGTTGTCGATACACCTCAAAATTGAACGTTGAATGCTCTGGAACCTACGATAATCCTGGTTACACTGATGATATCGATAATAGTGTATCATTCTCATCTTTATCTTCTTCATCTTCTTCACCTTCTTCTTTGTTGGATGATTATCAACTTGGTTCTGTTGATGCTACACCTTTATTCAATTCAACTGGATTACGAGCTTTCTGGCGAGTTCCAGTTTCATTTGCTCAACTATGGAATTCAAAAGGTTCTAATGGTGTTAATTTCCTTCTCGATATAAGTATTAACCTTGACTCGGGCGGTGAACATAGTACCAGGGGAACATTGAAAGTACCTTTAACCGGAGATTATCCTAGTCCCTTTGATTATCGGAAGTGTTCCAATTCCAATTCATCTTCAACATCTTCCCGATTTCTGTTGAACTTCATTTCAATAACTTGGATCTTTTCAATCATGGTTCTGGCCCAGTTACTCCATTGAAGAAGAGCAAGAAAATATCAAATTGTTTAAGGTGCAAGAAAGGAGATGAGATGAATTTACTCTTTGGTGATGAAATGATAATGTTGGTGAGGAAAAAATGGATGGACGATGAAAAGAATTTAAAAAAGGAAGATAAATGAAGATAAATGAAAGAAAATAAGATAGAGAGAGAGAGAGAGAGAGAGAACAAGAAGAGAACAGCCAATTAAATCCTGGAAGATTGAAAAGAGAGAAAATCAAATGAAGAGAAAGGATCCAAAGCTACTCATTCTTCCGTCATCTTCTTTGCCTGAGTTCCGTTGATTTATATTCATCATTTCAAGGAGTTCATATTCTTGGTTCTTACCCGCTATTCAATACTGACCTTATTCCAATACACTTATGATCTCATTGTTTTCGACTTTGTATTTGCTTTTTCGAATGGAACAACTGTCAGGATAAACCTCAAGGTCTCAACATCGCTCCCTTTGTCTCTTTCTCTCTCATTAACTATTTTCTTCATCTTCTCTGTCATGATCTTCATGGAAAACAAGATATCCTGAGTACCGATACGATTGAACGGATGTTTGATCATCAACCATTAATAACAAAATGTATCAAGCGTGCTAATTGTTTATGCAAGGCAAATACCATTCGTATTAAGTCATTCAATCATCCATTTGTCTTCCTTTGGTATGCAAATGTAATCATCACGTATCAACATTTTCAATCATCAAAAGCAACACCAAGTTCAATTAACATTCTCATCCTATTTACTATTTACCCTCTTCTTCAAAATGTTCACCTTAATTATAACCAAATCAATAATTTCAACCCTAATTCTAGTCTCTCTCTCTCTCTCTCTCTCTCTCTCTCTAAATTGTTTCAATCATCGACACAGTTTTTTGTTGTTGTTGTCACGCTGCGAATTAATATTATTCATCTTTAATCAACAATCAGTTTACAATCATCACCCGACATCAAGGGTTACTTTTTGTTCATCATCACTGTCACCATGATCATCAAACTTTTCTTCTTCCTGTCAGTTAATTACAACCTCTAATTAATGTTCATCATTAATCTACCATAACCAACCAAATCTGATGATACAATTATAACTCAAAACAAAAGTGGACTCAAGATTAATCATTGATTGGAATTGAATATCCATCGTCAAGTCAACATTTTCTTCAATTATCATCATGTATCAGATTAGTAGATGATGATGAAGATTAAAAAGAAAAATAATCAACGAAAATAATTGGAAAAAAAAAATTCGAAACTGGATAACCAAAAGAAAGAGATATTTAGTGATTGAAGAAAAAGTTATTGACTCAACCTGAAAGAAAAGGATTCTCTTGATCTCATCATCATGAAACAAGTTAACACTTACAACTTGGCTGAACAAATTGCACTTCCATTTGATGATTTAACTTGATTTGATTTTAAATCAACAATCAACAAACTACTAAAGCAAAAAAGGGAAAGGGTCAAGTTTGGTCATCTGTAAACATGAAGAGCTTTCTACCACCACCACAACCTCCCCTTGACCATCAAGACCACCCGTCAATCTACCTTTTCTTTCATCTTCTCCTTCATTATTTTCCATCATTTAGATTTTGTTTCAACTCTATGTTGATGATGATGATGATGATTATCAACAAAATTATCTTCATCACAACAATTTGATAATAATAGAGAGGAGCAAAAATGGGAAGATGAAAAAAAAAACACAAAACATCAACAAAGTGAATAGATGAAAATTGGATAAACAGTCATTTTAAACTGGCAACCGATTGACATGGAACCGGATTAACAATTGTATTAGCTGATTATTAATATGACAATCAAGTGGCTGAGTCACCCTGAAAACCATTCATTCCGATTCAGATAATCCATCCAATCATCCTCATCATTTTGATTACTATTAATTTCAATCAAAAGGCAAAAACTACTGTTCAAGATTCATTCAACTTGTTAATCTTAAATGATGATGGATATTAATCAAAATTAATCTTCCCAATCTGTTATTTTATTGATTACAATCAGTTAAATCAGTGTTAGATTATCGTTAATTGTTATACTCTTTAAATGATTTAGTATAAATATGCAAATTGTGAGCTACATCATACTGAGCAATTGAACGCAATCAGCTTATCATCTTTATCATCTTAATTCTAATTATTATGACAAAATTATCATCATCATTAATGTTAATTGTTACAATTTGATTTGTGACAAAAAAAAGCAAATTTTTACTTTTATTTTATTTACAATCAACCAAAAAAAAAGAGAATACATTTTCTGTATAATCATTTTATTACTATTAATTGTATTTTTAATTATGTACCATAACAATCAAAACTTAATTGTAATAATTAGTAAATTTAATGCAATCAAATTGAATAAGTTTGATCAACACAAACAAAAAGATAAACTAACAATCAAAGTTAAATTGCTTAAATTGTGATCAGTCAATTACAAAAGTAAATATTAATTAAAAACGTTATTATTTTATGTTACCTGTTGAATGATTAGTTTATTAATCAATTAACAATCAATACGCAAATTAACTTTGATTAAGTAAAATGGGAGACAATTAAAAACCTTGAATGGGAAGGATAATCTAATTGAATCAACTAACTATTCTCAAGCAATTAAGCAAATTGATTATCAAACAAATCAAATTAGATTATAACTTGAAACCTAAATTCAAGTTAATTTAATCATAATGTTCAATCATTCGTGATTAGATGTTGATTTAATTATCTAAATTGTGATCTAAAGTCACAGTTTATTTGCAGAAAAAATTGATCACAAACCAGGAAGCAACAATTAACAGTTTATCAGTAAATTTAGCTAATTACTGTCATTTAATTGTTCTGACTTTTTCTATTATTACTACTTAATCACAGTTAACCTTAATTGTTGATATTTTTTTTATGATCATCATCATAATTAACAATCAGAAATTGTTGTTTCCCTTTCCCATTGAATTTTCCTATTGACAATTAACAATTTTTAACCTCTCACAGTTTGATTTAAATAAACAAAGTTAATTGTCCCAGGAAAGTGTTAAATGATCAACTATATTTGATTAAGTTCATTTGAGACAATTAAGATGATAAAAAGTAAAGTTAATAATAATGGTTAAACAATTAACTGATTATGAAAGGAAGGAAGTTGATTAACTAATATAATATAATCAATACTTATCAAAAATAAACAATTTAATTGCAACTAATTGGAAATCAATTATGTAACAATTAGATAATTGTTGCCAATTTTGAGAGATGAAAAAATCAACAATTATTGTTGATTTTCAATGTTGAACTTATTGATTAGTTAAGATAATTGGTGAACAATTTAAATGATAGTTTAACAACAATTAACATCCGTAATTAATCAAATATTTTATATTATAATTTATCATAAAAAAATATCATTTACACATTAACACCTCATGGGATTGTTATTGTTGTAATTAAATTAGTGGTTCCTTTTGGATTAGATTGTAATTAGAATTGAATTAGGACTTTAATTGTGATTTCTAATTGTGATTAACCACCAATGAAACAAGGATTCATACGATAATTAAGGAAAAATCCTCTTTTCACTTCTTTACCATCGCTAACGAATCGAGCGAAAATTGGACCAGTGCTGTTATCTGTGAAATCCAAGTAAACAATTAGAAAAAGACAATCAGTTAATTGTTCACAATTACCATCAACTGTTTAAGGAAAGTCTTAATTCACTGCTATTCGAGATTGGCAATCAATCAATCATCAAATTGTTTCGTAGTAATAGTTTTCTCAATGAAAACATTCAATCGTTTCACTTTTTTTTATGTTATAACTTTTAATGGTTACATTTACAGTCTAATCAAACAATTTGATGACTAATTGTAATTAAAGTGAATTGATTGTTGATTTAATGGGTAAGGTTGATAAACAGAAAATTTCACCGTTGAAAATGTATATTATAATACCTAATAATTAAGGTATTAAAAGATGAGATTGATTACCAATAATTAATAAATAACTTGAGGGAAAAGTAAATGAAGAGATTAAATTAAGGTTAAATTGTTGTTGGTTAAGCTTAAATTAACCATGCAAATGGTTAGATGATAATCAAAATTATCAATTACAACAATTAAAGTGAAATGTGAACGATAATAATGTTAATCGATATGAAAATTGAGTTTCGTTTGAAATGAATCGGCAATAATTAGAACTGAATATTAAAACCTGTAATTGACTATTTTCTGCTTGAAGCGATTAAATCATAATTAATTCAGTTCTGATTTGTCTGTTGATCAGTTAATTGGCCAATTAATGGAAAACAAATTTAACATGATTAATGTGGAAACGATTAACGAACCAGTTACGTCGGTATCTCCTGACGGGTTATTGGCGAAAACGTTGGCATTCAACCGACCACCGCAAAAACGGATTCCGCCGATCATCAGGTAATCGGATGGACATTTAACGATTCCCGCTCCTGGTGCTTCAGAGGTTTTAGATTCTGGTTGAATTTCAAAGTAACGGAACACTGAACTTGGCCTGGATGGTTTATTTGTCTCTGGCTCTTCATCGGGATCTCTCTCGGACGGAACGGAATAGGTCATTGTACAGAAACCTGGTTCTTTACGAAAGCAAATTGTATAATCTAAATTGTTGAAATAAGTGTTGCCATCGTTGTAAAGGTCAAAATTAAGTGACATGATCCGACCTACAACATCGTAATGATATTGTAAGCAATGAGCAGGAGCTGGAAATTAATTGAGAGTTGGAAAATTATAACACAATTAAAATTTCACACACACACACGATGATAATTACTACATATACAGAAAGATGACAAATCAATTTGCTTTGAAATCAATCAACTTGATACAATTAACTCTCTGTTTTATTGTAATAAAGCTCAATCAATGGGGACCAATAACCTGAGGGCATTTGAAGAGGTTCCAAATGCTTGGATTGATACATAAGTATTGATGGGTTTAATGGTGATTCGTATTATTATATACCTGTTGTTGACCATTAATTTAGTATAGAAATTAAGAAATTAATTGATTAGTTACCTCGGTATGGAGAGTGACACTGGATCTGAGTAACTCTAACATCAAATTGTCTACTCCGATGACCAGTGGTGATGAAATTTAAACTCACTGGACCTTGTGTACCAGCAACGTCAATATAAACTATTTGATTAAAGATATTAAATGTAATTAGAAAGTAATTATAATCAGTGGGACATCATTTCAAATGGGAAAATACTCAACTGTGTTGACCAGAATTGACCCCACACATTGGTGGAAGGACATCATTTTGTATTTGACCATTGACCACGAATCTGTCCTTGTCACATTCACCTTGAGTGGGCTGAGATAAGCTAAAGATTAAGAAGTCTAATCTAATCTGACAAATGTCGGGCTTTAAATTACTGATCTGAGCTGAACATGGCCGCGAATCGGTATAAGGTGATGGAGCATTTGGATTACGAAAATAGGTTCCATTGTAAAGTATTGATCCACCACAGGTAACCTGAACTAAATTAAACCATTGAACAATCAAATTAACAGTAAAGGAAAACAATTAAGAAACAATCAAAGGGCATGAGATAAGCAAAAAAAAAACGAAACAATTAAAATCAAAAAAGTAAATAAAATTGTTCAATCGGGTAAGTATATTAATCTAAATTGTTACTTGTTTTCTTCAATTGTTACAATTAAATTGATGTTAATTAACTCGTGCCAAGTCTCGTGTGAATTTTTTTCACATTTTACAATCAGTTAATTGTGTTTAAATCGTTAAATTAATTTTCTTTACGGTAAAAGTTGTAGTTGAGTTTTCCTTGAATGGGTTAACCTTTTTTTCATTGATTATCATGGGAAAGATGATTAATATCAAATTGAGTTTTTCTCAAAGTTTCCAATTTCATCTAAATTTGTATTTGATTAACTATCGTCCAAATGATGATTTAAATTGTCATCTCATCTCTCTCTCTCTTGTTAACAGTTAATCAAATTGTTTTTCTATTATTATTATTTGGGGAGTAATCACTTGATGATTGATTTTATCATCTCTCAGCTGATGATCATTTGGGTGGAGATGATGAGGTGATTATCATTTTCTTTCATGAAGCTGAACTTTTCAATTCTGTTGATTAATTTTCTGCTTCTTTCTTGTTATGATTTATTTTTTAATTCTCAAACTTTTTCTTTCTTTCCAATTTAATTACAATTAAATGGGAATCAACAGTAGCCCAAGTGAAGAGGATTTCTGATGAAGATTGAAAATGGAGATATTACAATTGAACAGAACAGAAAAGAAAAGTAAATTAATTCTTTTCTCTTCCTTTGTTCATCATCATCCTCATCATCATCATTCTCATCATTATCTTCATCATCATGTTCATCTTATTACATGAAAGATATTACCTGAATTCATTGATTACAAGGCTACCTCAAGTTTTTCCTATTCACCTGAAGCCTAAACTTTATCGAGAAAGAAACAAAATCGAGTATTAAAAGTGGACTGAGGTCAAGATGAAAACAACAATGAGAGAGAAACAACAATTACCACAACAACAACGTGTCAATCATTAATCGTAGTGTTTAATAACTACAAACCCATTACGATAATAATCACATCATTCAAATGGTTCTGTTTATGATGATCACCAGTTCCTTGCAAAACTTGTTGATTGTTGTTGTTAGTTAAGCTTGAGAAAGATAATGATTAAAGTTATTTACCACGAATTAAGTTAAATTGGATTCACAATTATTGCAAAATTAAACCATTTTTGATTAAGAAATAGAGACAAATATATATAAAGGTGTATCCAGGTCGATTGGTTACCGTTTAATGTGATTAACTTTGGGATTCGTGATTAACAGCAATTCATGTTGAATGATAATGATGATGCTTCATGAAATTGAATTCAATTTTGCTCTTTATCAATAGTTATCGAAGTGATTAAAGAAAAATCAAATTTTTCGATGATAATGATTAATGGAAAAACAGATCAACAATCAACATGAAGAAACTAATAAACGTTAAATTGTGAAAAGAGATTCTGATTATTTTGTTTTCCCTGATTCGACAATCAAAAAGTTTAATGTAAGTTGTTTTTTTTTTTAAATTAAATTTAGAAATAAATTGTGATTACAATACGTTAATCTGATGTATCAATTAATTCGTGATCTACTTTTAATCTTTCAAGTTAGTAAATTAAATTAACCATTGGCTGGTTTTTTACCTTTTTTCATTCATGATTAAATCACGACTCTTGGTTTTTTTAATTGATTGATAATCACTATGATGCAATGATTATTGTTGATCTCTTAATTATTAAATCAAAGTTGAGATTAGTATTTGTTTGTTGGAAACACTTAATTATATTAATCTTTGATGATTACTGATTGTTACAGATCGTTGATTATGTTTCATCTCAATTACTTTTTTGGTGAGAGAATGAAAAAAAAAATGATTCAATTTGATTTAGTTATGAAAAGTGTAATCTGGTGACAACAATTAACACTAATTAGTTATTTGTTACAGTGAAAGAAAATTAAATTAAAGAAACGTAATCAATTATAATTGTTACCCTGTTGTTTATTTATGCTTTGAGACTTGGCTACAGTTATAAATGTTGTTAATTGTGATGGTTAATTGGTTTAGACTTGCATAAGTTTCAAGGTGTAAATTTAATGAGGTTTGTTATTGTTTTTGTTAATTATTTGTGTAGTGATGGGATGATGATGATGAAGGATAACAAACTCACGGAAACAACAAACACCAACAGGAATCCCGGGATTGTAGCCTGATCCGAAGCCGATGCCCGAATTATCTGGCCTTTGATTACCTCCCGATCCACTGATTGGTGTAGCATAACAGTTACCAAGAGCACGGCCACCCCGTCTTCGGCACTCAAATGAATTGGACACACAAATTCCGGTTCGATTTCCATCACCCGTTGGACAATCTGAAACCGAATTAGGGAAAAATGGATAGGCCGGATTCCTCATGTTCACATGGCCAAAGGGAAACGGAAAAGGTAACGAAAGTCCATTTCCACCTCCGCCGATTGGACCACCAGCTCCTGGACCACCAAAAAGATTCCAAAGAGCTTAGAACAAATCAACAAATCGATTAATTATCCAAATAATGAACAATTCACATGAGAATCAATTAAAAACAAAGAAAAAGGAGAGAGAGAAACATAATTAACGAATTAAATTATAAATATAAAACATACTTCGTTTTCCTCGATCATTTGAATTGGCAATATACACGATGGAACAAAAAATTAATATTAATTGTGGTTTAAAATTTTCAAAAATCATAACTGATTAAGTTTCTGTTTCTTTATGGTTATACAATTAGTTTAATTTGGGTATCAAAGAGTTGGTGAGATGATGTTGATAGGATGGCGATGAAATATCCAAATCAAATGATACATAATTGAGATTATCAAGGAAACAAGAAATGATTTTTACACAAATGATGATGACAATTGAAGACCTAAATTTTGTCCATCAAAGTGATGACGATACATGGTGAGGATATTTGAATTATTGGTGATTGGAAATTAAATGAGCCATAAACAATATTGATTTCCTTTCATGGTTATTTGAAGATTTGGATAACAAAAGATTTCGGTGTAAAAAGAGATGATAGTTAATCATCAGAATCTTTTCAATTTAGATGGTGAGAGTATGTCAATGTTGGAATGGTTCATGTTTACACCGTTCAGAAAATCCACCCTTCCTTTTGCTGTTCATTTCTTTCCTTCTCTTTTGTTTAAATTTGGAATAATAATCAAAAGAAATTAAAATAAACAAAAGCTCAGTGATGAAGAAAATTTCCAATTGAATCTTTTGATGTTTTTGGTGAAAAAAAAGGTCACTTCCTAGAGATTAATCATGGATGATTCCGACTTTGCTTCTTGGAAAAAAAAGGATAATGGTGACAATGACCGGAATGGATTTTCCAACAGAAAAGAGTAAATCATAATTGTCCTTTTTTGGTTGATTGATTGATCTTTGTTTGTGTTCACAATGGATTTAATTTGGTTACATTAGCTTGGTCCAGATTTTTCATCATTTTCAATGTCAAGTAGATTGTGTCACATATTCTGTTGCATTCTTGAATATCACCACATTCTGACATCTTTTTCTGCTCCGATTCAACAAATTTCTCCAAATTAAGCATAGTTATCATGTATTCAGGAGCATCGCTTAGATCAGTATCCATAATGTTTAGCAAATTGATACAAGATTCCAGGAGAGATAGACAACCAATTGAGTCAATCGCAAGTCGAGATGAGGCCCAAGACAATTTAGTCTTAACGGTTTCACGTAACATCCGAGGAACTGATTCACTTCGCCAAACATCATTTGGAAGGTTAAACTTGTCAATACCATCGGTATTTAATAAGGTACGAGATCTTTTATTAGGAAATGATGATGATGATGAAGCTTCACCCAAATTGTTTGACATTGAAGATGATATTGGTTGATTATCTTCCTCCATTCCATTGTTATTCATTTGGTTACTTTCCTTAACCTCTCTTGATGATCTACAAGCGACACAAATATCGGTACCATCTCTAGACCTCATCAGAGCAGACTAAACCAGAAGAGAAAAAAGAACAAAAATAAAATGGAAAAAACAATCACAATTACAATAGAAAAATAGACAAATAGAAAAAAAAAATTTAGAAAAGAACAAAAAATGAACCAAAATTGAGCCTCACCGAGCAAACGGAACAATAATCATTCAATAAGCAGTAACCTTTTAACAAAAGGTCTCCCATTTTCTTGGCAATATCATCGTCAAATGGCATGTTAACAATTTAATTTAATTAGAAATTTTCAATTTAATTATCAAGCACAATTAAAGATCACAGAGTTTAAGGAACAATCAACAAAGGTGAGCAAAGAACAACAATCAACCATAGAGGACAGCATGGTCTCAACAGCTGATCGAAATCTCGGTTAAAGAAAATTTTTTTTTCTATTGTTAATTAAGGTTTTTTTCGTAGCAATTAACTGATTGTATTTTGTTATTTTTGGTTATGGAATTACTTGTATGGCCTGGTGATCATGGATTACCCTCTATGGATCTTACTTCAATTCAAATGATGGTAAATTTAAATTGTTTTGTTGATTTTTGTTTTAGTTTTTGTTTTTGTTGTTTATGTTTTGGTGATTAAAATTAATTTAGTTTTTGTTTTATTGTGATTTAATTTTTAGGCTTATTGTAAATTTGCTGGTGCTCCTGTTAAAGTTAATTACTTGAATAGAAGTTGGAATATTTTTAATCATATTCCATTATTTACTCATGGATTTAATGTGAAATTAAATTGTCTCAATGATTTGGTTGCTCATCTACAACGTCAGGTAGTCAAATGATTTTTAATACAATCAAAAAGTCAACAATTTGTTAATTATTGTTCAATTTACTTATTTATAGAATTACAATTGTGATCAAAAGTTAACAAAATCATCTCCGATTGATGTTCAAGCTTATATGTCAATTATCAGTCAGAAACTTGAACCTGCTCTTGTAAGTATATTAATTGATTATCTTTGATTTGATTTGATTTGATTGTATCGATTTGTTAATTGTTTGCTTTTCAAGACTTATCTCTATTGGGGTCATGAAGGAAATTATCTAAGTTTAACTAGACCTTGGTATGCAAAGAGATTACCTTTCCCGGCGAGTTGGATATTACCTGATCGGTATCAAAATACCAATAGAGAGAAATTGATTGTTCTGATCGGTGATCAAGAAAAATGGCCTGAAAAGGAGAAACAATTAATCGATGAGGCGGAAAAATGTTTAACTTTACTTTCTCAGAAACTTGGTGATCAGAAATACTTTTTCGGAGAATCACCGACCATTTTTGACGCTTATGTTTACGGTTATTTGGCAATTTGTACAATACCCTTTCCACATTTAAATCCACTAAGAAATTCACTTAACAATTTAACTAATCTACTAGATTATGTTACAAGGATTAAGCGATCATATTTTCCAGATACAAATGAAGGTAAGTTTGTTTTCCATTTCTGTTATTCTTCAATGTAATGTTATGATTAACTAATTTTCCTTTTTTTATTATTGCGATTTTGTTTAGCAACCGAAGGAAAAATCAAATCGGATGACAACGAGTTCCCAAATAAACGCCTTGATATAACACTTTCTGCGCTTTTCGCTGCCACCGTCATGTTAACTTATGCGTATTTACACTTGCGACATTTCAAGAAATATCAATGATGCATTTTGTACACAAACACATCTATGGGTGACCTTTGTTGCTTTAAGAAGAGGAGATCATAATGTAGATTAGAGATAAACAATATTGTCAAATTATCGTTAAATAACAAAATAACATCATGGATGTTGAAAGAAAACACCAATTCCAAAGGTTCGAGTATGGTGATTGATTGAATACACATATGAAAGAGTTTCCAGTAGAATCAAGTTACTTTTGATTTCGATGGTTGAAAGGGAGTGAGAGATTTATAATCGTCGTTGATTTAGTACACTGGACCTTCATCTAAATTGTCATCTGATTCTTCAAGAAAACCTTCACCATTATCGAAATAGCTACGAGCATAATCAGTGTCCTGAAAGAATAAAAGAAAATGATGATTAGTGATCTGGTTAACGAAATGTCGAATTTGTCAACTTTACCTCTTCAATGTCTTCTTCGTCTTTTTCTCCTTCATCTGAATCCACCTCATCTTCTGGTTCACTTGCGTCTTTTTCCGATTTTGGACTTTTTTCGCCATTTTCTTCTTCCTCTTCTCTCTTCTTTAATATTTGATTTAAATCACCAACTTCTAGAATTTTCTTTGCTTTCACTTTTTTAGCCTTTTTACTCGGTTTAAGTTCTTCAGGGAATAATCTCCAATCTAGAAGAAAATACGAGAAGTTGAGAGAGAGAGAGAGAGAGAAAAACAAAGAAGAATTGAGAACATCGATTAGAATTTACAATTAACTGATTCCATGGGGTCAATCATTACGTTTCCATTACCTAGCGAGTTTAAATCTTGGCTTGAGGTCGGGTTATTGGTAACATCAAATTTATCCGAATACCTTTGAACGGTCAGTTTAACCTTAGGTGGAACCAAATAGTATTTAGATGATCTAAATGATGACATCATTGATTGTTTTACATCATAAAGATAATTAATATTATCACCTCGAGCCGGAATAATTGGCGCTGGTTTAACAGGTAAATTTGGATACAAAGGCGGAGGTGCGAGACTTGGACCAGGTAATTGTTCACCTTTACCGATTCCTATGGATTCCAAGTTGAATGTATAACCACGACCTCCTCTTCCTCTTCCTCTGGACATTTTTAATTAATTTGGTGGGCAAAGAAAAGTCAAACAACAATTAGCAACAATCAGCAAAAAGATTTACAAATTAACAAGTTCAATTAAATCTCTACGGAAATGTTAACATGTGTGTCTTTGTTTACATTTACATCGATGGATCGATTAATCGACTAATCAATTTAATTAATTGTTCCATTGATTAATCAAAGTCAACAATCAGCTTACATTGAGAAAAATTAATCTTCTTGTCTTGTCAATTGGGTTGACAATTTTTTTTTTGCTTCATGAAGATTCTGGAAAATTGTAGATTCAAATGAGAATCAATTGATTGTGTTTACTTTTGAATGGACAAAATTTTCATTTCAATTTTTTTCCAATTTTAAATTATCACAACAATTTGTTGATTGTTCTGATATTCTCATCACTTGATTAGTTTGATTAAGTTTTTTTTCTAGTTCTTCATTAACTAATCATCCATTTGAGAGATTAAAATATAATGTCTACTTTTTTTTACTTCTAATTCCTTGGCTTTGATGATTAACTATCAAAACAATTACTTTCTCTTGATTGTAACAATTTAATGAAGATAAAAAAGTTGATTGTTCAATTTTTTTTCTGCTTCTCAATGAAAAACACAAAAATCAAAAATTAAACAGGCAAAATGTCAACAACTTTTTTGTCAAACAATTTAAAGAACAAAAAAAAGTCGTAACTAAATCAATTGATGATAATTAACTTTCTAAAATCAATCAGATTCAATTGTTACTCATCACCTTAAATTAGATCAAATCAATTGCAAGCAATTAAAAATCTCTCACACTCGTAACAATTAAATGCTATTTACAGATTTGGACAAAAAAATGTCCAAATTAAAACAAGATGACAATTAGTTAATCAAGTAATTAATTATCTCTCCACAATTAGAAGACAATATGAAGGAAACAAATTTCGATCAACAGAATAACCTTAAAGTTAATTTAAAATCTCTTAAGCCACATCATCATTGTGATCAACAATTAGAACAACAATAAGAAACAATAAACTAAAAATGATGCAATAAAATTAGTAAATTGTAAAAATAATAAAACAAATCAAATCGAATCCAGAGTTACGATTAATCCGAATTCAGATGTCGCCACTTTAGTGGAGAATTTAAACTTTGGGGGAAAAAGAGTTTTTCCCCTGGAAAAGAACCAATCATAAGGAGACACATTGGATAAGTGATGGAACATTTGAAGAGCCAATAGGAAGAAGCCACGACTTGTGAGAGAGAATCAGTTTTGTATTGTCCTCAGAGTAACTGATTGTTAATTTCAGTGTTTTAAAGTTAATCATTGAGTGAATTTAATTTGATACAATTTGTTAATTGTTCTCTTATCAACTTTTCTCTAACGTGTACAAAAATTTTTGTCTGGTTGTCAAAGAGAAATCTTCAAGTTTGTTCTCTGTTTTTATTTTTCTCTTTGTGTTTCTTAATCAATTTCTATTGATTTTGTTTCACCTTTTTAAATTTCAATTCTCTTGTTCTCAGTAATTAATTTAAGGTAAGTTTAGTTTATTTTTATTCTTTTTTAATTGTTGGCAAATTTATTCGTTTTTTTTAAAAATTTTCTTTTATTAGTTATTGCCTTGTGTTTGTTACATTTTGTATGATCTATTAGTTATTGAATTTGGTTTTCAATTATCCATTTTACTTTTGTTTTTTTTTCTAGATGTTTTTCCGTGGATCTGGTTCCCGGAAGGTTTTACCAATCTTCCTGACAATTGGTCTTTTGGTTACTTTTGATTCAATTAATGCAAAAGAAAAAGATTCCAATGACTCAAAAGATTCTAAAGATAAGGATAGTGTAGGTACAGTAATTGGTATCGATTTGGGTACTACTTACTCTTGTGTTGGTGTCTTCAAAAATGGTCGTGTTGAAATTATTGCCAATGATCAAGGTAATCGTATTACACCAAGTTACGTAGCATTTACACCGGAAGGTGAGAGATTAATTGGTGATGCTGCTAAGAATCAATTGACTGCCAATCCAGAAAACACAGTCTTCGATGCTAAACGTTTAATTGGTCGAGAATGGTCTGATCATACTGTCCAATCGGATATTAAACATTTCCCATTTAGAGGTGAGCAATTTAATAACTTTAACCTATAATCTTAATCGTAATTACCTTTTTAGATTAACCTTTAAGCCGGCGTGGCAACTAAGCAACACATAGTAGACTTATTGAATTTAATTATTTTTTTCTTTGACATGTTTATTATTATTATTATACTTATAATTGTAAAAAAAAAAGAAACGGGTGTAGCTGACGTCGGCTTTAAATCTACGTTTGACTGATCATTCTTAACCAATTTGTTTTTTTATCTCTTTACCTTTTTCCGCAGTCGTGGACAAAAATAGTAAACCTCACATTACAGTCAAAACCGGTCAGGGTGATAAAACCTTTGCTCCTGAGGAAATCAGTGCAATGGTTTTGATCAAGATGAAAGAAACAGCTGAAGCATATCTTGGTAAAAAGGTTACCCATGCTGTCGTCACCGTACCAGCTTATTTCAATGATGCTCAGCGTCAAGCTACCAAAGATGCCGGTACCATTGCTGGTCTCAATGTTATGCGTATTATCAATGAGCCAACTGCTGCGGCCATTGCTTATGGTCTTGATAAGAAGGAAAGTGAAAAGAATATCTTAGTCTTCGATCTTGGTGGTGGTACTTTTGATGTCTCCCTACTTACAATTGATCAAGGAGTATTTGAAGTAGTTGCAACCAATGGTGATACTCATCTTGGTGGTGAAGATTTCGATCAACGGGTAATGGATCATTTTATTAAACTTTACAAGAAGAAGACCGGTAAAGATATTCGAAGTGATAACCGAGCTGTTCAAAAATTGAGAAGAGAAGTTGAAAAGGCTAAGCGAACCCTTTCATCAGCCCATCAAGCTAGAATTGAAATTGAATCATTCTTTGATGGAGAAGATTTCAGTGAAGTTTTAACCCGAGCCAAATTCGAGGAATTGAACATGGACCTTTTCAAATCAACCCTTAAACCTGTACAAAAAGTTTTGGAAGACGCTGATCTACAAAAGAAAGATATTGATGAGATTGTTCTGGTCGGTGGTTCAACCCGTATTCCCAAAATTCAACAACTTGTTAAAGAATTTTTCAATGGAAAAGAGCCCACTCGGGGCATTAACCCTGATGAAGCTGTTGCCTACGGTGCTGCCGTTCAAGCTGGAGTTTTATCTGGTGAAGAAGATACCGGTGATCTTGTTTTACTTGATGTTAACCCTCTTACCATGGGTATTGAAACTGTTGGCGGTGTTATGACCAAATTGATTCCTCGAAATACTGTTATTCCAACCAAAAAATCTCAAATCTTCTCAACTGCCTCTGATAATCAAAATACTGTTACCATTCAAGTATACGAAGGAGAACGTCCATTAACCAAAGATAATCATCTTCTCGGTAAATTTGATTTAACCGGAATTCCACCTGCACCCAGAGGTATTCCTCAAATTGAGGTTACATTTGAAATTGATGTTAACGGTATCTTAAAGGTATCAGCTGAAGACAAAGGAACTGGTAACAAGGAAAAGATTACCATTACCAATGATCATAATCGTCTATCTCCCGATGATATTGAAAAGATGATCAAAGACGCTGAAAAGTTTGCCGATGATGATAAACGTATAAAGGAAAAGGTTGAAGCCAAGAATGAACTTGAATCTTATGCATACTCACTTAAAAATCAAATTGGAGACAAGGAGAAACTTGGTGCTAAGCTTACCGATGATGATAAAACAAAGATTGAAGAATCTCTTGATGCTGCCATCAAATGGCTTGACGCTAATGGTGAATCAGCTGATACCTCAGAACTTAAAGCTAAAAAGAAGGAATTAGAAGACGCAGTCCAACCAATTATCGCTAAACTTTACGCAACTGGCGCAGGACCAACTCCCGGTGGTGGACCAGAATCAAGTGACAGTAAAGATGAATTATAGAAAGTTTAATTGAAAATATAAACTTAATTTATACTAGTGAAAAGCAAAAACAAATGAATATTTTGTAAATATTGATAAACAAAAATTACAACAACAAAAAAAATCCACCTTTTGATTTACAATTTTTTGGTTTAAATCTATAAACGAAAAACATAACATTGTCTCAATAAATTCTCGCTCTTTGTTTCTTTTATATTTAACTATATAAAAAGTTTCTTATTAACAAAAATGAAATCCGTTTCCGTTCAATTACCAAAAAGAAAATGTTAAATTGGTGTTAACCATAGTTGAGTTAATTGTTTCAAGAAGAAACTGCCAACTGGATTAAAAGGCGGAGTCAATTTGTGACACATCGCATTGGGAATCAGCTGGAAATGAGGAGAGTTGAGTTGATAGTTTCATGTTGTTTTCATTCATGTTTTCTTATTTCTTGTGAATAGATTGTGATTGTTTTCTGGTTCGATGATTGATCTTGTTGGTTTGTTCAGTGTTATCGGTTCTCTTATAACACTCGCCTTTGTTGGTTTAATCATTTGGAGAGGGCGACGAACCAATTTAGCGAGTGAGGAAGATTTAGATTCTGATGATGATTCTGTGCGACGTCGACCAGTCCGAGGTGTTCCCGTTCCAAGGCCTGGTTCAAGTGGAGATGCTCCTTTTCGTAAGGTGAGGAATCGCCGACCCATTCGAGGTGCTGTTCGATCCACTGGTGGAGGAAGAGGTCGTGATGGTGATGAGGATGATGAGTTTTCTCATCCTCCTGAATTTGTAAGCAATGCAAGAGATGAAGATGGTCCAAGTGATGGTGATAGTGGAGCTGATTCAGGGGAAGAAGATGAAGACGATGGAGAGTCTAATGTTCCCGAAGGTAAAATTGGTGCCAAAAAGAGACGAAAATTGGAGATGAAAGCGGAGAAACGAATGGCCAGAGAAAGAGAGCTTCAGGAGAGAGAAGAAAGAAAACAGCGACAGGCCATGTTGGATGAAGAGAAAAGGAAAAAGGATGAAGCCGAGAGAGAAGAGGAGAGAAAACGTGAAGAGGAAGAGAAAAGGATACGTGAAGAAAAGGAAAGAAAAGAACATGAAGAATATCTCAAAATGAAAGAAGCCTTTGAGATCGAAGAGGAAGGATTCGATCAGGATACCGACGAATCCGAACAATCAAATAAATTAGCTGCTTTTATTCAGTTCATCAAGAATGAGAAGGTCGTTCTGTTGGAAGATCTGGCCGGTACCTTCCAAATGAAGACCCAAGATGCGATCAATCGACTTAATTTACTCTTAGAAGATCAACAATTAACTGGTGTTATCGATGACAGAGGGAAATTCATCTACATTACTCAGGAAGAATTGGAAGAAATCGCCAAGTTTATCCGTCGACGAGGTCGAGTTGCGATCAGTGAATTGGTTGAGAACAGCAATCAGTTAATCAACATGAAAGCATAAGAACTCAAATCAAATCGACAATCTCAAAATTGTTACAACTATTAGATTGTAATTACAATTAATATCTCTTTAAAATGATTAACTTTTCCTTTCCTTTTCTAAACAATTAACAATATTGTACAATTTAAATCCAAATTAAATAAAATATTTTTGCTCTATCATTGGAAAGTGAAGTTAAATTATTTACAAAATTGAATCAAATTAAGACAAACAAATAATAATAATAATTACAAAAGTCAACTGATGAAACAATTAACAATTAAACCAGTAGACAAGAGGATTGACAATCAATTTGATTGTTTAATTTATCTATCATCTTTAACCCATTTAACATTGTAACCAATCAACCAATTGTCAAAGGTAAAGAGTAAAAATTAACAAATGATTGATGATATTGCAATTGAGAAACCAAATTAAATGAGTATGACAATCTAATTAGTCAAAATTTAAACAACAATTTAACCAATCAAATGTTACCTTTAAATGTTTGAATTTAAACTGAATCAATTAATCAACTCATATTTAACTAGAGACTCGCTTATGAGGTTGCATTAGTTGAACACTTTTATTTCAACAAATTGTTTTAATTTACTTCTTAATTTTGTTAATTTTATTGTGGAAATTTAATTTTCTTCTCTTCTATTGTGATTAACTAATTAAATTTTCTTCGAGAATGATGATCAACGAGGAACCAGTTCGTGTTGCTATTCAACAAAGCGCCCAAATGATTGAGGAAACTTTGGCCGCTAATATGAGGCGATTCAAGGGTAAACGTCGGGACGTGAGGAGGAAACGATCAACTCGTGAGGCCGAAAATCATATTAACTTATACAACCAGGCTAAATTTTATTCCGATGATAGTTCATATTATCGTCAATTGAATGGATCGGACAAGGTACAACCAGGACAGTTTCAATATCAGTTTACTCATTACAATCAACAATCTTATCAACAACATCAACACCAATTGCAACAATTTAACTTACAACAGCAACAACAACAGGTACCACCGACGTCACCTTTACATATTACACCACCGATATCATCATCATCTCATCCATTATCTTCATTCCAGACATCTAATCATCAACAAGTTCCAACCTCGAATGGCCATCCATTAGTTATGTATCCGTGAGTAGAGATTGAATTATCAAATTAACCGATTGATTCGATTAACTATTTTTTGTTTCATCTCGTTACCTGATCGTTTTACCTTTGATTTTACTCCACTGGAATCAGGTCTCAGCTTCAAATGCCACTGCCGATGCAGTTTCCAATGCCAATGCCCGTTTCGATGCCACCGGTAAATTATGATGGCTCAATGCCCGTTCAATTGCCTCTGCAAATGCCCATTCACATGCCTAATATGCCTTTACCCATGTTCATCCGATTACCTGGTCCACCCTGTGTATCACCAGCAGCGTCATCGTCCAGCAGCAGCAGTACCAGTAGCGACAGTGAAGCTAATTACAAGTCAAACATTTCTTCCGGAGGAATTGGTCTACAACAATTCCAACCGCCGCCACAATCAACTACAGTGGTTAATTTTATTCCTCTCATGTTCCCCTCTCATCTCGGTCCCATGTTATTAGGTCCATCTCAGCCCGTTATGGTCGCTCGAATGTCACCCAATTTCCATCAAATGGTCAACGAAACTAATCAACATCGATCATCAATCCACCAACAATCTCAAACTGCAACCAAGTGAAAACAATCAGTGTCTCTCTCTCTCATAAATTGAGCAATTAAAAGGCTTAATTATCTCTGTAATTAGTTAAAACACTTTAGGTTTAATCGATCTCTTTGTGACCATTTAACAATTTATTTTTCGATAGTTTAAATTTTCTTGATTGCAACTTTTAAAGAAATCTCCTTAATCTTATAAATCATAAAAAAAGAAACACTTATAGTTAAGACAACAAAGACTAAATCAACTGATTAACTGATTAATTATACTTGAATCGCAACTTATTTTGTCTCAAGTTAATTATTTTAAATCAGTTGATCTTTTTATCAATTTACCTTTTTTCTTCCTCTATTTTTGTAATCACTTACACCCAATGATTTAATTATAATTAATGTTCAACTGTCACTCCATGTGAACTGAATAATATGGAATTGATCAGTTAATCACAATTAACTTGATTTTACATTTATACAGAATTTATAACTTATATTGAATTTGTATTTAATCATTTTACTACATTTTTTTTTACCCCATTATAAGACCTTAATTGTGATTGACTTTGATTCATTACTATTATTTAAGAGGAGAAAACAAAAACTTTTGAGTTAATTGTTACCAGTTAATTAGAAAGGTAATCTTTAATTAGTCAATAGTAAATTATCACAAAAGAGTTTAACTGTTATAATGATTCGGGTTACAAGCAATTGATGGAAAAGGAATCGTAATGATTAAAAGTTAATGAGAAAATTGATTGTACAACAGAATTAAATCTAACATTTTACAAATAACATTTGGAAAAATATATATGAATTTAGATCCATAGATACAAATCATCATACATCTTTGTAATTAACAGAGATTTAAAAAGCTACATGAATGATTAAGAAAAAAAAAGTTAAGGCAAAAATGTTACAAGGCAACTGAATGGATGAATTGATTGATTTAGTTGCGTTAAGATGATGATGATTGTGATTAAAAGTCCATTGAATTGTTGGAAATTTGTGCAAGGGTTTCATTTTCACTTTCACTTGTTTGACCCAAATTTCTGGATGAATGGGCATTGATTCCGGTTGATTTAATTGAATTGGTATCCAAGGAACGGACACTTTCAATTTCATCATCATCATCAAGTGTATCGAAAACACAACTCATGAGAAATTTATCATCTTCATCTGATTCCAGGACAATGTTGGAATCTTCGTCGATATCATTTCGAGGTGGATCATCTTCAATATCAGATTCAAGAATATCTCCTTTGGTGGATGAGGCATTTGTTTGGGTGACAAGTTCAGTTGCATCAACATCGGTTTCATCATCAACTTTTCCAAAAGCAGATATTCTTGTTGAAGCTTTAATATGATCATATCGAGTTCCTTCATAATCATCTTGGGAGTTAATTGGATCTTCTGAAAAATCTTTAACAATTTGACTTATACTGGTCACTTCATGAGTGACTTCAATATCGCCCAGTTTATCATGATGTTCCCTTGTGGTTCCGTTTATGTTAACGGTTAATTCAGATTCTTCCACTATCTGAGTATCACTTGGTTCATTTCTTCTTGGTGATGAAGCTTTATCATGTTTATCACAAATCATTTCCACTTGAATTTCAATTTCTTTGGTTATCTTAATCGAGGTATTGATCCCTTTTTCCTTTGTAACGGGCTTTTCTTCAATCGGCTCTGGTTCAGTTTGAATGCGTTTATCGATCATGAGAGCGACATGAGATTGGTCAACTTGACTACCATTTAGTTGATCAGTGGGTTTCGATAAATTGATCTCAAATCGACCAATACCTTCAATCAATATTGAACCTTGAATTCCATGTTGGGTACATAAGCAATTGAATAAATTTGATAGAGTTGAATAGAGATCACTATTGTTGGTTCCATCGGTTTGTTGATATTGATCCTTTCGGTGTGCGATGTCCGTTTGAGAGCAATTATTTTTACGAATTGATTGTTTGACTCTGTCAAATCGACTATAAGTTACACCAGATCGGATTCGACGATCCTCTGAATCAGAAGAGTCACTCATCAGCATCCTTTCTTCTCCTTCAAAACTTAGTTTACGATGAAGAGATTCCCTGATCCTTTTAGGAGATGGTGATGCTTGTTTATCGGAAGGTCTTTTGTCTGCTTGTAAAGTGAATTTATTTAAGAAAGAAACAGGAAATGGACTAAGTTCTCTTTCTTTACCTGATCCGGTTGGAGTAGAAGTTTTCGGCATAGCGAAAGACCTTTTGACCGCTTCAACTGGTTCATTTATTGTATCCAGAGTACGTTTGGTTCCTTTACCACCAACATCTCGGGCCATTTCTCGAGCTTCCGCTTCAGTTTCTTCAATTGATTTATCAAGATCAATATCTTCACATCTTTCTGTGGGTAACCGTCTTTTCCCTTGTGGTGAGATAATTTTATTACTTGGTTTATCGGAAAGATCACTTCCTCTAATTGAATCAATCAACTGACCAGCCTTGTTGACAATTTTACCAAAGACAATATCTTGAATGAGACGATTACGGTTAATAGCAGCATTACATTTAGGACAATTACAAATATCTTCCGTTGGGTCCAATGCATTGACAATACAATAGGTACAAAATCTATGACCACAAAGATTTCTCATTGGATTAGTAATAATATTGTGACTATTGAACACAGAGAAAAGTAGAAACAAAAAGTAAAAACAAAAGAAATTAGTAAGAGTAAACAATCAAAATAAGAGAATGAGCCAAATAATTCATAGCAATTTATATCTAAACTTCAAGAGCTTTTAATAACTTACCAAATACCACAAGATACACTTTCCTGTATTCTTTTGAGAATAGTAATAGCCATTTCATCAGATGATTGAACCATGTTTCTCAACATGAAGAGAAGATGTCCTGTAGAGAAAAAAAAGAACAAAATAATGAAAATTAATCAACCAAATTAAATTAAATCACAAAGTAAATGTTTATGTTTGGGTTGATAGAAAACAGGAAATGTGTTCAAATGGAAGATCAACTTAAGAAAGCGGTCAATCCATTGACCATTTTGGCGGTCATTTTATTGAATAATTGTAGGCAAATGATTCAATAATTGAAATGGTTAATCACAATCAATTCACTGGAAATTAATTCACATAATTAAAGTGAAGTAAAATTATGTAAATGTCACAAAGAATACTAATTTTATCCAATTGATGAAATTGAATAGAAAATTTCAGACATGAGAAACACCATCAAGTCTCATTCTTAAAAAGATACATAAACACATAGAACACCAATTAATTGATTAAAGATTAAACAACCTACCTTATGAAAGAGAAGATAGAATTAGTTTGATTGTTTAGAGATGAAAATTCTAATCAGTTAATCTAATAGATTAAATTAACGAGAACAATTATTGTTCAACAATAACCAAGTGATTTTATCTTATGGAAATGAAAAGTGAAAATGAGAACCAAATGTTGAGAAAAAGAGAAAAACATATCCCCTAGATGGCGCTTTTTGTGGAAAATCGAATTTACAAAAAAAATTAATCGATATTATCGCAGCTGATTGTTAATTGTTAACATTAATAACATTAATAGCAAAGAGTAAAAACTCTCTCTGCTCTTTGATTAATAGTTAATGTATTTGGAAAATTGATTGAGACTTGGAGCATTAGATTAGTAAGGAGAGAAAATAATGAAGACTGAGGAAAAGATTATGTTGATATTAATGAAAAGAATTTTTTTCCCCAGATCTTGACCATTAGAACTTAATTGTCTCTTTCTAATTGTAGATCTTACCAATGATTGGAAACAAAACTTGCTGCAGATTTTGTCGAGCTGTTAATCGATTAGATTGCGTTCACTTTAATTACAAGATCGTGATTCTTGGCATTTCAATAACAATCAGATTCCAAGAGAAAAAAATTTTTCTTTGGCAAAGTTTCTCTAGAAAAGTTCTAGTTCATTTCTCTCTCCATTCGAATACTAATTGGGAAGAAAACTGTGGATGTCAAAAGAATCTGTTGCATTGGTACTGGTTATGTCGGTAGACCAACGAGCTGCGTGATCGCCTCGAAATGTTCTCATCTCACTGTGGTGGTTATAGATTCGAATGAGAATCGAATTGAATCTTGAAATTCTGATTCTCTTCAAATCTATGAACCAGGATTAGAAAAATTGTTAAAAAACGTCGAGGTTCCAATCTTTTCTTTTCAATCGATGTCAAAGGAGAAATTGATGCTACTGATTTGATTTTTATTTCGGTTAATACGCCGACTAAAACATTCGATATTGGTGAAGGTGAAGCCGCTGATTTGAAAATTTAGACTTTCTTTATAAGCATTATTAATGAGTAACAATAAGTGGTCTATTAATATTAGATCAAGATTAAAGTGCTGAACTTTCTGCTGATTCTTTTATCATTTAAGGTCGGATTATCGCCGACAATGCAAAGGCGAGTAAAATTGTCGTTGAGAAAAGTACAGTTTCTGTTAAGGCCACTGAATTGATCAACGGAATATTAAAAGCAAACCAAAAGCCAAAGGTATTTGCTTCCAAGTTTTATCCAATCCTGAGTTTCTCGCCGAAGGCACGGCTGATCGTATCCTAATCGGCGGAGAGGAAAGTGAAGCGGGTCAAGAAGCATTGGCAAAATCAACTTCAATCTATAATTGGGTTGAACCAAAGAAGATAATTAGTACTAATCTTTGGTCAGCAGAATCCAAATTAACTGCCAATGCTTTTCTCGCACAGAAATCATCAATCAATGCGCGATTTCAAGTAAAAATTAAGACGAAAGTTTTGAAAATCAAAAAAGGAAAAGTGTACCAAATTTAATTGCTTTAAATTGATTAACTCTTTTCGTTGATTCAGTCATTTGTGAAGTAACTGGTGCCGATGTAAGGGAAGAGGCCAAAGCCGCTGGAACTGATACCAGAATCGGAGATAAATTTCTTCGAGCTTCGTGTCGGATTTGGTGGAAGTTGTTTCCAAAATGATGTCCTCATCTCGTCTACTTGGCAAAGACTATGCACTTATACAATGTACATTGTATGAAGTCGCCGAATATTGGAATCAGGTAAGAACGAATATCTCGAATAAATTGTTAAAAGTGAATCTAATGATGAAATTCTATCAATCAGGTTATCGTGTTAAACAATTACCAAAAGAAACGATTCGCTCAGCGTATAATTGAATGTCTATGCTACACCATCACCGATAAACGATTGACCATTTTCAGTTTCGCATTCAAAGCCAACACGGGAGACACCCGAAAATCACCAGTCACCAGAATCACACCTCATTGTCTAATAATCTGCACGAACTGGGATGAATTCAAAAGCTACGATTACCAAAAAATGTACAATGTCACGAAGAAACCAGCCTGTGTTTTTGACGGTCGATTAATTTTGAACCATCAACAATTAACCTTAATTGGATTTCACGTTGAAACAATTGGCAAAAAATTGCAGCGAGAGGCAAGATTACAGCGACGACGATCATTCGTTGAAGATCAGATTCAGATATGGACTTGAGACCATGAATTTGTTTGACATCAAGTTCGAAACTGACCTTTCGGTAGGCCAAAAGTCCATGAATCGCTAGGCCAAAATTATCTGGTAAAATTTTGCGAAATATTTTGCTCTTTTTAAAGCCAGAAAAAAATGATTTCTGTTCTCAAAGCGAAATTCTGACGGACTTTTGGCCTACCGAAAGGTCAGTTTCGAACTTGATGTCAAACAAATTCCCAGGGTCTCCCAAGTCCATATCTGCAATCTGATCTTGTCAACGATTCGCCGTTCTCAAGTTATTCCGAAAACAAATCTGTTAATTTAACGTAATCGCCCTGTATTATTATCAAGTGCTTTAAGCAAATCAACTGGACTATTATTGAAAATCCTCTTAATCATCAATCAGTTTGATTGATTTCCAATCAATTTTACTGGTTCAAATTTTGACAATATCATTTTACCATAATTGAATTATGATTAACTGATAAACCAATTGACAATTAAAAGTTGATCTTCAATTTTCAATGAATCTTATCATGGAATGAGAATTTAATAATTTCCATCAATTTAAATTGTCAATCACAATCATAATCACCAATCACGGAATCACAGAATTCTACCAGAGAAAACTGATTGGAATATACAGTCGTGAAAAATGAGTTTCGAATGGTTTTTAATCATTCGCGCATGTAGCGACTAAAATTAATAGATTAAACAATCAAGATAAGAAAAATCAATGAGTAAATCATCTAATTCTTATCACTGGTGATAAAGATTATCAATTAATTTTAGTAGCTAAGTTGCGCGAATGATTAAAAACCATTCGAAACTCATTTTTCACGACTGTATTAATAAAAAGACCACGAACTCGTTAATGACTAAGTTATAAAAAGAAACTCGATAAAACCCAAAGACAAACCAAGAAAATCGCACTCGAATAATCAAATTCCCGTTACATACTGGTCTTCACGAACAAACTTGTAACCTCGAATAGCCCATGTACCTGTGGTAGAACCATGAAGGACTCACCGATTCAGCTCATCTTCCACTGCCCTGGATAACTCACTCAGTAACAATTCCCTTTTTCAAGATCAAATTTCTTTCAAAAATTTTCGAACAAAAACCAAAATTCCCGTCCAAATAGCCCAATACATTAACACTAATTCCCCTCAATACCCAAATAAGATCATTTCTCCGTCAACCCGCCTTTACCTTTCTCTTTGATAATCCAATGTAACAATTTCTATTGATTGCAATGAGCGTAGTGAGTTAATCTCCCCTCAATTGGAGATTGGGAGCCTGAGTGAACCTCTTTGGCAAAGACTCTTTGCCATTAAATTCAAACTGATGTTCATATGTTTAATTTTATCCTCTGGTTGTTGATCACTTTTTACCTTAATTAGTTGTATTAATTTAAGAATAATTAATTGTCTGGTACATTCTTTTAATCCAATTGGAGCCCATGATCATATCAATTGACCAACATTCTCATTGATAGTTAACATAATCTCATCTGTTCATCTCCACAAGGAATTGTTTTTGTTTTTGTTTACTTTTGTTTTCCTTTCGCTTTCACTTTCTATCTCTTATTATTATTGGTTTATTTTGTTGGAACCAATTTTATTAATCATTTTGTTTTGATTTTTAGCTTCCATTTGTTGATATTTACATTGTGTTCTAATTGTGGCAAAGGAAAACATCAAGTTACAGTTGATAATCTTCATCAATGGTGAAAACCTTGTCGTTTATAATTGTTACCTTTTCTTTTGGATAACCAATAAGATGAACTATGGTTGAGAAAAGGCCAATTAGAGGTGATCTTTGGTGTATTCCTCAAGCATCTTCTCAACTTGTTGTCACCATTTTAATGCCCAATGGTCTAGTATTTGAGATACCCTGTTCTCGAGAAGATAATTTGGATAAAATAAAGAGAAATGTCTGGAAAGAAGCTGAAAGAGAAGTTCTCTTTCGACTTCTTAATGATATTAATTGTTACATATTCGTTGGTATAACCCAAGGAGCAAAGGTGGAAGAATTTTATGATGAGAATCGTCGTCTTTGTGATCTTCGCCTGTTCACTGCCATTCTCAAGTTAACTGAACTCGAAGGTGATAAAGAGGAGAGAAGAGCCAATGCTGAACTTTCCATGGCCATTGGAATAACCATCTCGGAACTTGATCGATTCAAAAGTGGAGAACCTTTTCACTTTCGTAATGATATAATTGCTTTTTGTAAAAGTGTCGTCGAGAAAAGGGAAGAGATGGATCTTGATGATAAATTATATTACATTCATCCCCCTGAACTTGATGAATCTTATTTCCTAAATAAGACAAAGGTCAATCAGTCAATGTTAACACTTTGTATCTGGTCTGGAGGTGATGAGGAGGGTAAACAAAATTTCAAACTGGACGTGCCTCATGATTGTAAAACCTCATCCGTTATCAATCAGATATTGGCCCAAATCAACAGTTCCCGTTCCTGTGACCACGAGAAAACACAACCTTTAACTGGTAACAATTTCGTTCTCAAAGTTTGTGGTGTTAATGAATATTTCTTTGGTAATCATCCTTTATATAGATACAAGGTAAGGGCATGGAAAATGTTGTCATTATCTTTGATCAATTGGTTGATTTTATTTTATTTCTCTTTTTTTCCTTCTCTCTCTCTCTCCCTCTCTCTACATTTACAGTATATTATCAACTGTCTTTCGCAAAATAGATGTCCAAATTTAATGTTAGTCGATAAGAATCAAGTCTCTCTGGAGATTGAGAATCATCAATTTCGCATTCCATCTTGTAGTAAACGTTCATCGTCATTCTCAAAGGTTGATCCTGGTTCCAAAGATATACATCGAGCTTTAGAATCAGGCCAATGTTTACTTTTATGGAGGTTCGAAAATTATTTTAAAATTAAAATTCTTTGGGCAACTTATGTTAATGTATCGGAGGTTGAAAAGATTTTCGTTAAATGTGGCCTTTACCATGGAGCTGAGCTTCTTTGTCCACCTAAAGAGACTTCTAGAGTTGACCCTTGGAATCCAAAATGGGATCAAGAGATTGAATTTGACATTTGTTTAGCCGATTTACCAAGAAGTGCAAGACTTTCCATCTCAATTTGTTCAGTTACAACTCGTACCAAGAAAACGGGTGAAACTTGTCCCCTTGCTTGGGGAAATCTTTCCCTATTTGATTATAAGGCCCGTTTACTTGCGGAAAGGAAGACCCTTCACCTTTGGCCCGCTCCAAAAGATTTCACTGAGCTTCTTAATCCTCTTGGTTATTTAGGTTTAAATACCAATAAAGATTCACCCGGTCTGGAAATTGAATTAACCTGGTATTCAGCATCAATCGTTTATCCACCAGAAGATATAACCGAAAGTCATGCTCATTTCTGTCGGACTCTGGATTTTGCCGGAAAGGACATGGGCTGTAATGGAGTGGACATAACTCGCTATCAAAAGTATAAACAAGCCGATGAGAAAGATTTCGAATTACTGAATGAAGTGATTTCAAGAGATCCATTGTCTGATATGACTGTTCAAGAGAAAAATTTAATCTGGCGAATGAGAGATCATTGTCTTAAAATTCCCGATTCACTGCCCAAATTTCTTGACGCTGTTAAATGGAATTCACGTGATGAGGTGTCCCAATTGTATAAATTATTGAAACAATGGCCTCCGGTGAAAGCAGATACTGCCCTGGAACTACTGGACTGTAAATATACCGATATAACGGTTCGTAATGCTGCTGTTAAATGGTTAGATGATAGTTTATCCGATGAATTACTCTCACAATATTTACTTCAATTGGTTCAAGTGATCAAATTTGAACCTTATTTGGACAATGGTCTTTCACGAATGCTGCTTAAACGAGCCCTTCTCAACCGACGTATTGGTCACTACTTTTTCTGGCATTTAAAAGCTGAAATGCACGATCCTTCAGTTCAACTTCGATTCTCTATTCTATTGGAAGCATTTTGTCGTGGCCTTTGTTCAAATTTCTTACAATCGACCCTTAAACAAGTGGAAGCCCTCGAAAAGTTAACCATTCTCACGGAAGCACTTAAATTAAAGAAAGATGATAATCGAGAGAGGATTAAATTTTTCTCCGATCAAATGAGAAAAGAAAATTATATTGAGGCCTTAGAAAATTTTCCAAGTCCATTAAATCACACAATTACCTTAGGTAAATTGCGTCTTGATGATTGTCGCATCATGGATTCAGCTAAGAAACCTCTTTGGCTTGTATGGTCTAATCCCGATCCTTATGCGGACCTTTACGCCTCTCATAGTGCCATTATCTTTAAAAGTGGAGATGACCTTCGTCAGGACATGTTAACCCTCCAAGTGATCAGAATTTTTGACCTAATCTGGCGACGAGAAGGTTATGACCTGAAAATGTTACCATACACTTGTTTAGCTACAGGTAATCAAGTTGGTATGATTGAAGTTGTTCCTCGAGCTAAAACGGTAATGAACATCCAACGAACCGGTGGACGAATGGCCGCTTTTCAAGTTGATTCAACTCAATTACATAAATGGATTAGGGAAAATAATGTCGCTAATTATGATCAAGCTGTTGATACATTTACTAAATCATGTGCAGGCTATTGTGTGGCAACTTTTATCCTCGGTATTGGTGATCGTAATCCTGATAATATAATGATCAATGAAGATGGTCAAATCTTTCACATTGACTTTGGTCATTTTCTTGGTCATTTTAAGAAAAAGTTTGGTATCAATAGAGAACGTGTTCCTTTTGTATTAACCGATGATTTCTTATGTGTAATTTCAAAAGGCTCTGAGAATCCAAAAAAGAGTAAAGAATTTGAAAAGTAAGTATAATAGTTATAATGTTACATGTACCATTGGAATCATTTTATCATCACTAATTGTCCATTAATCTCTCTTAGGTTTACCGAGCTTTGTGGATTAGCATATTTATCCTTACGTCGACATGCTAATCTTTTAATCACTTTGTTCACAATGATGCTTTCCACCGGTATACCTGAGCTTCAATCCATAGATGATATTGGTTATCTAAGGAAAACACTACAAGTGGAAAGAAGTGAAGAAGAAGCTCTGAAATACTTTAACAATCAATTTTTCGAGGCTCACGGAGGTGCTTGGACCACGAAGATCGATTGGTTTTTCCATAATATTGCCCATTTCAAGAATTAGTTTACACGTACTTTCAGTTAATTGTTATCCATTTTTTTCTTGTTTTCTTTTTTTTTTGTTCGGTGATCATTTCCTTTCGCAATGTCCTATCCATTCACATATTAATTGTTTAACTAATTGTTTTTCCATATCTACACTCACAGAAACACACTATCAGTACACACAACCAGCATTAACCAACTCACCTCTCACTCAAACAAATATAAAACAAATTTATATACATATTTACATATATTACTGACTAATTGATCTATTAATAGTATGAACCTGGTATTTGCTCATCTCGATTGTCCCTTAATACCAGAATTGTATAAATCCAAACTCAATCCCTTTCTCCCTGATTCCCATATCATGACTAATCCCTTTTCTCAGATTCTGGAAGATATTTTCTAAATCACGATTAATTGTTTAACCTTTTTTTTTTCCTCTTGTGTCCCAAAAGCATTTTACAAACACCAAATACTAAG